ACAGGATGAGCTCACCTGGACACAAATTAGGCCGGGTCTTCTCTGACTGATGTCCTCCCCGCTGGGCCCAGGCATCCCCCCCTCAGGACGACTACCAGCTCCATGTCTGCCCACAGAGCCAACCTCTTCCCTCCCATCAGGGTGGATCCTGCCAAACAGCCCAGGGTCCAGTCTTCCTGCGGGAGAAGCCCAGGCGCTTCCACATTGCTGGAGCACACCACAAGGTCCAAATAGGCCCCAGGGAGGGATGTTCGCAGGACGCTTGGAAGTGAGAGCTGAATATTAACACAACACAGTCCCAGTGTGAAAACTAGGCCTGACCCAGAGTCTACAGCTGCTGCCTGGGGACCAAGGACAGCCACGGGGCAGTCGCTCCCACACCAGCTGTGCTTGAGCACTAACATCCCTAATCTTGTCCCCAGGTCTGACTGAGGGCCAAACGTGCTCTCCCTCTCTGCCCACCCCACAGGGCCCCTGCATAAGTGCTGCTCACCTGCAGTGTCCCCCCAGCTGGCAGCCAGGGCTCCCCAAAACCCCTCTCCCTCATTCCCAGCCCTCTGGCCCTTCGGGGACAACAGCAGCAGCAGAATCCTTCTCTATCACAGGCTCTGAGATGTCTCACCTGCTCATGGGGGTGATCTCTGCTCAGGATAAAGGGCCAGATGTGACGTGAGTCAAGGAATGGCCTGCGTGTCTAGAGGCCAACACGGGGCCAAAGTCTTGACCTCTCCCCTCTCCTCTGGGCCCTTTCCATTCAAATTAGGCCCAACTCCCCAAACTATAAAGATCATTACTCATTTTCCAAATGTCTCCTTCGCAGATCACAGCCCGGTGTGAAGCCTGATGGTTTGCCTCCCTCCACGCCTCCACATCCAGACACGGCCTTCTGCGGCTTCTAGTGTGCGGATGGGACCGAGTCTCCCGTGTGGGAAACTCCCCACCCGTCCTCGTTGTCTTTGGTGACATCCAGACCCATGGGCGCGCTATGGTGCTCATGCATTTGTGCACCCCAAATAACTGCCCGTGTCCACCTTCACCCTTTGCTCTGTGACCTCACTGTGACTTCCCGTCTTCCCTCACGTTTGCTGCTCCTTCTGATGATGGAGTATTTCCCCAGCTTCTTGGTCTGGTGGGTTCTTCTCATTCTCACCCCTCAGCTGGAATCTTAGTTTTTCCTCTCACTTCCCAAACTGGCCAATGGGTGCCTGTGGGTCTGCACCTGCCTCACCAGCCATTTCCCCAGTATGGCTGGCTTGAATGCATCTCCTCCGCAAAATAACATGCTGTGTGTATCACAGACAGTGCGCACGTCCAGCACCCCACTCAGGACCTGAACCGACCCATGCACACTTGTGGATAAGCCTTGTTGCTACAGAGGGAGTGCAATGAGGGTGTTTCTGCATTTGCATTTGAGTCTCAGTGAAATTGAGATCCTGGTTTAATACAGCTACCTCTCATAGCACAGTTGATCTTTTGGTGAAAATTCCTCATTAGTTGTTTAATGAATTAGAAGTCAGAGTGAAAACAACTCATAGTTTAAATGAGACATTCCAAAGACCTCAGTCTTTAAGTGGTTCCAGGAATTGTTTTGTACACATCCAATTCATACTGCCAATAATCTTTAATAGGATTTCAATTCTGTCTCTTATTTATAGATCTAAAATTAGGATTGTTACTAGAAAACCTCCTTACATGTGAGCTAGTCAGGAAGATCACAGTACTTGTGAGAACATGTAGCCTCACTGGTGCACTGTACCTCCTCTTCCTGATGGAAATAAAGTTTGATCATTGGTTCTGCTCATGTGGATGAGTCACGATTTTGGCTCCACTCCAAATGGGAAACTGAGCAATTCCGCTTTCTTAAGAAACAGAGATGTCTATCGGGACTAGGTTTAACTGACAGTGACAGAGTGCCCCGGTGTCTTAACTAAAACAAAAGCTTATTTCTCTCTCATGCGAGGAGTCTGGAGGCCAATATCCCTGCAGTTAGATGGTGACTCCGTGAGAACATGAGGCCCTGCTCCTTTCTCGTACGGCTTCATCATTCTGAATAAATGATCCATCTGTGCATGCATCTACCCACACCCATTCTAATGCATTTCTCAACAAATATTGGTTGATCTCCTGCTGTGTGCCAGGCACCATGGTGGGAGCTATGTCACATCTTCATGGTCCAAATGGGGGGACTGAGTAAGGTACAGCCCTTCCCCTCGCTGAGAGAACTTCATGGAAGTCACTCATACGCCTTTGGCACTGTCACACCAGCCGGGCTTCCTCATGTTCTCCTGCTTACTGCAGTAGAGATTGGGGAATGTGACCTTTTCACTTCCCTTGGTGATAATGTTACCAGCTCCTGCAGCCAAGTATCCAACTAACACTTAGAGGCTGTAGTCAGAGAGTGGATCTAGACAGGAAACTAGTAGTCACTCCTGTGGGTTCTGGCTTTGCAAACTGCTTCCTATTTAAGAGAGATGCAGCCGCCAGTGTATTTTAGAGAAGTAAGTACGCATTCATTCAGGCAGTCTGCAAATATGTATTGTACAGTATATGATCATTACAGTGGTGGAGTGTTCTGACTCTGATTCTGAATTTACCTGTGCTCGTGAGTCTTTTGCTTTCATGCTGGTATTGATCTCCTTTTCACTTCTGGCTGCAGAACTCTCTTACGTTTTGCTTGTAGGACGGTCCACTAATAATTCCATCAATTTCTGCTTGTCTAGGAAAGACTTTTTTGTTTTAAAAGAGAGCTTTGCTGGGTTTATTACTTTTGCCTAGGAGTTTTTTCTTTCAGCATTCTGAACATATCATCTCATTCTCTCCTAACCTGTAAGATCTCTGATGAGAAATTCAATGTTAGTCTAATGAGGATATTTTTTCTTGTTGCTTTCATAATTCTCTCTTTAATTTCTGACAGTGGTACTATAATGTGCCTTGAAGAGGATTTCTTTGGGTTGAATCTAGCTGGGGTGTGTTGCACCCCATTGACTTTCACTCTCAAGATTTGGGAAATTTACAATTCTTTCATTAAATAGGATTTTTGTGCCTTTTAAAAATCTCTTCTCTTGTCTGAATGTTTGTCACATCAATTTGTTTTCTAAGTGCTGACTCACAGGCCCCAAAGATTTTCTCCACTCTTCTTTCTTTTTTTCTCTGGTTGCATTAATTCCAAAGGTCCATTTTCTTTTTTTTATTTTAAAAAATAAAAGAAGAAAAACATATTAACAGACAGACATCCATTTACAAAATAGCATAAGAACAGTACAAACAAAACAGAGTTACAGACAAAGTTGTAGGAAATTAACCACTGTTGTCGTATTACTTATTGATATCTTCAAAGCGGTTTCTCAGGAAAACAAATAGAGACATACAAGATTGATAAAACAAGTAATCATTAACTGTTCCTTTCTGTAGGGCAATATAAGACAGTGGTACCACTATGTTAGCTATCCTGTATATACATACTTACATAATTTCCCCTTCTTTCCCTTCTCTTTTCCCACACCCCAGTTGCCCTTTACTTTTGAGCATTTTCCTTTCGATTCACAATGTCTATCATACCTCCTAGTTTTTATTCGCTCCTTCAGGTCTTACAGTAGTGAAACAATGTGATGCTTGCACATGCAGGTCTGATTTATTTCACTTATGAGTATGGTCTCTAGTTGTGACCATTTACCTATAAAAACCTCAAGTTTATCTTTCTTATAGCTGAGTAATATTCCATTATATAAAAGTACCACAATTTTTTTATCTAGTCCTCAGTGGGTGGACATTTGGGTTGCTTCCACAATTTAACAATTACAAATTGCGCTACTATGAACATGAGTGCACATATATTGCTGTGATATGATGTTTTCAGATCTTCTGGGAAAATACCCAGCAGGGGGATAGCTGGGTTGAATGGGACCTCCAGACCTAGTTTGCTGAGGAATCTCCAAACTGATTTCCACAGTGGTTTCACCAGTCTGCATTCCCACCAGCAG